TGGCGGCCCATCGTGGCGGAAGAGATCCGCCATGGTGTTATGCTGTCAGTATATATCTAGCGGTTAACAACCATACTCTTCAGGCAGTCTTTTTTTTTACAGTGTGTGTGAGGTATGTCCAGTAATGTCTGCCCCAGTTTTAGCGGAAAGTCATCATAACGAGGAGCTTCCTGTTTTATTCACCAGCATATACGAAATACAACGTCTTATCCTTCAAAAAACTTTGCGCTGAGTGAGGCGGACCCTGTTAGTACTTGAACCGTTTTCGCTGTGGGCAAATGGCAGGCACGGCGCTATATTAAAAAAAAGCGCACTTTATTCACCTTGAATCTACGCATACCACATGAGTTCCGCAGAAAAGAAAAGGTAAAGATGTAGCACACTTTCTCGCATAGTTAAAAAAAGGCGGCCGATTAATGGTCCGCACCGGACGCTTCGTGTCCCAGTTTGTTTGCCGCTGTCACCAGCGACCGAAAAGCATGTCGCGCCGCATTGAGATGAGAGTATGTCGCTCAATATTATTTTTTTGCCACCTTTCTGTCTTCTCGAAGCACGCTGCTATGAATTTTTTAGGTATGTGCCACTTTCACACAGACAAGACATTCTATGAGGTCTGTTCTTAGCGTGGACCACTGTAATCAGAAAGCCTGCTTGGTTTTCAGGCCGATCGCACAATCGCCTTGCGACGTGCACCCCTCACTTACGGGCTGGCTGGCGCGGCCTTTCTAGTCAGGCTTTTATTTTCGTAAATGTCAAAACTACGTCGCTGCAAAGTGGGAGCTTTGGGGCTACCACCCTATAGAGTTCGCGACGCGTAGTAGCGTATAGGTTAACGCCCGAATAATGAATGAGTGCCAGCAGTCATTTTGCATCTCAATCATTCGCGGTGCTCCAGAGGCTCGTCGTCCAGGATAGGCGGTATGCACCATGCGTATCGAGTGAATGAAATGGCTTCTAATAGGCTTCGTGAAGTGTGGTGAAATGCAACGTTTATTTGCGTACCAGAAACTGTATACAAAATGGTTCAGAGAGGGTGCGAGAGAGAGAGAGAGAGGAATCATGCGAAAAGGCAAAGAGGCTAGCTAAGCATGGGCTTGATTTCCGTCTTGCACTTTAGAAAAGAGAATATTTCCGATGTAGAAGGAAGAAGGGTAGAAAAATTGAGAAATGAAGAGTTTGTTTTTTATGTGTCTTGTGAAAAAGGTAAAGTTTGGCAATGGTAGCGAAGCAAATATGAACTGCTGGCTCCATCCCCAGATTTTAGTTTGCGATCACCTTTTATAACAGACATTTGCTACAAAAACGCTTCCACAAAAGATGTCCACTTTTTCTTCACTTTTTGAAGCGTGGCGATCACCCCTAATAACCACTTTTTCGTGAGTTTTTACTTATTCAAGCAACTGCGCCCCGCATGTCGGATTTTCAGTAGTGCATTTTTTAAAATCCACCGACAATCTCACAGAGATGACGCAACATTGTTTTGATTCAATGTGATGTCTTACGTTTGCTTTCTTCCGGCTGCCGTGGTGCTCAATGTGGGCTAGGTGGTGGGCTGTATGTGCTGTCTCTATTATGCTGATAGTGCAGGAGAGTACCTTTTGTGAGTAGCTAAAGCTAAGGAATTTAGAAATAATAAGCTGTACACGGCAAGTGCCATGTCAGTGAAGTTGGTGGTCACCACCATGCACGCAGGGACGCTGTTGTGAGAGTGGTGGGCACGCCGACCAGCAATGGTGAACGATGACATGCTCAGCGACCGCCGACACACAATCGAGTGCCATCAATATGAGCATATCATCATCACCATCATCATCATCAGTTTGGACGAGCAAAGGCGTGTTCTTTTGTGTCTCGGTGTCGTCTCTAAAATGTTCCGGGTCATCTGCCGCCCAGAACCCCACTAATATAAATTCTCCAAGTGTGAACATTCCGGCATTGTATGATTCCTAACAAGGAGGATTAAAAAAATTTTTCTTTAATCCTCTTTGATTCCTAATATCAACCTTATGCATTGTTCAGCACATCGACTTTAGTCCTCCGACCGGAATGAAATGCCCACAGCATGTGTGCTACTTATGGTTTGCCCTTATCTTGATAGAGCCAGTCACCATGTCGTCCTAGTTGCTTATACTAATAAATCTAGTAATGAAAAGCTTTACTCGACCTAGCACCGGAACGCTGATCACTTAGGGTAACCATCATGCATGAAGGCGCTTAGACGGGGGATGAAATATTATTTTCAAATGCTCTAATGCAGCTATTTTGCAAATATGTATGCAAGCACAGTCAAAATTCCAATAAGTGTGCGCTACATACAATGCCCTTTAGCTCCTGCAGGTAAAGGTGGACTGCCTTGCAAACTTCCACTTAAAGTGACCCGTAGACACTTACTGCAAGATGGTCATCCCAGGTTACCACCTCATATATTTTGAACTAAAATTTCTAATTTTGTTAAAATACCCGAAATTCGCCTTCAAGCCACAATAAATTTGTTATGCGAACATTCCTTGGCAAGTGGGCTAAATTCTGTGAACCCAAGGCGGCCCTTCAATTCGTGCGAAGCCTACGACATTGAAATTACCATCCGATGGTGTCTCAAATCAATAAAATCTGTCATCGATCCACTAACTAATGACACGACCTAATCCTTCAATGGCTGCCGGGTCACTGTGGGATCGGTGGTAACCACCTCGCCGACAACGCTGCCTGAGGTACCCCCGACGGAGCACCCACACTACTTTTTATACCCCTGTCAAGGGTTGACGCCACGCCCCGCCGCGGTGGTCTAGTGGCTAAGGTACTCGGCTGCTGACCCGCAGGTCGCGGGTTCGATTCCCAGCTGCGGCGGCTGCATTTCCGATGGAGGCGGAAATGTTGTAGGCCCGTGTGCTCAGATTTGGGCGCACGTTAAAAGAACCCCTGGTGGTCGAAATTTTCGGAGCCCTCCACTACGGCGTCTCTCATAATCATATGGTGGTTTTGGGACGTTAAACCCCACAAATCAATCAATCAGGGTTGACGCCACAAGAGTATTTCGCCACACCTTACATAATGCCACAGTTATGTACCGAAATATTCCACTGAACTTCACTTGACGCCCACAGAACCTCGCTTCCTTACTCAAATTACAGCTTCTCTCAAAGACTTCGTGATGGGATGCTGTATCGGTTGTGAGTCGGTGTTGTTTTTACCGATTCATTCAGTTATCGCATTGGTATGTGGTCGACTCTCCCAACTGTTATAACTTTTATTGCGTAGAAACTCTCGCCCATGCCCTGTGTCATTATCCAGACTTTGAAGATCGCCCGACTCTCAAGTGTGCCTTAAGGAGACTGGACGATCGACCCTTTACTCTGGAGAAGATCTTGTGGGCGTGGCCTTCAAGCACATCCGCCCAGAAAGCCATATGAGTCCATCTATAATTCCTGAAGACATCAGTGTGCGACCACCTGTGAAACCTGCAGTGTGTGTGCGGTGTGTATGTTATGTGCAATGTGAATATATTCCTCCTGCTCTCTCTCTCTGCTTTATTCCCTCATTCTCCTCTCTCCCGCTGTAGGGTAGCAAACTGGACTTAGTCTATTTAACCTGCCTACCTTTCTAATATTTTTTCCCTCTGTCTTTCTATTTTTTTCATTTCTTGTGGGAAAACCATTTTCTGCCAAAGAGTTCACCATATTTTTTCAATGAAACTCTGTTTTTCGCGAAAATTAAATCTGTGTGCATGAAAGAGTTAAATCACTCGCTTTAAAATTACCCATGTGTCTTCTCACCGTCATTGGGTAGATATAAACTGTGAATTACCATTGGCACATACCCGCATACCTGCGGCGCATACCAACCCGTGGTATATGGGTATATGTCATACGTGTCTGACGGAAAGGGTTTCTGGATGTACACAACGGGATAGTCACATTATTCTTGTCATTACTAGCTAGTCATATTCATCATAGAATTTTACCTTCCCATATAAATTTTGGTTTGCAAGTTAAGATGGTGATGACGAGAGCACCCAAACGTAGATAGATAGATAGATAGATAGATAGATAGATAGATAGATAGATAGATAGATAGATAGATAGATAGATAGATAGATAGATAGATAGATAGATAGATAGATAGATAGATAGATAGATAGATAGATAGATAGATAGATAGATAGATAGATAGATAGAGCACGTAGTTTTTAGGCATGTTGTATACTACGCACATTGTGTGATAATTGTTTCAGTGCTCGTTTTGCTACGGCAAATACAAAGTATTCGCCATGTTAAACCGCAATGTACAGAACTAATCGCACGACTGCTGCTTCGGTGGAGACCGAAACGACAGCCGTTTTGGTGGTACTATAATCTATATACTACTAAGTTGACAAAACTCGACTAACGTTGAGAAATTATTAGTCGTCCTTTCAGTGGTGCGGTCTTCCATATTATGGCTACGAGTGAAATGTGCTTCAAACGTTACATTTGAATGACAAAGCTATAACGCACCGTGTGTTACAAAAGAAATGTTAAACTACAAGCATATTACAGTTTGCTCCTTCATAACATGCCTTTCGGTGATTGGCTCGATTCCTTAACGCTCAGCTGGTGAAGGCTTAGCATTAAAAAAAAAAGCACCGACCATTTTTAACGGGATGACTCGCTTCAAGGTTTCCGTTTGAATAAAAAAGACAGAGAAATGTTAAGGGAACGCAGGGAGGTTGACCAAGCTCAAGGGAACTTAATAAGAAAGTGTTCTTGCACTGCGTTTTTTCGTACTTTAAGGAACCTCAGCTGGTCGACACCAGCCCTTCTGCACCTCCACTATTCTGCATTTTTGTAATGTTACCTGTGCGTCAATTTGACCGTTAAACAAGTTTTATTTGACGTCAAAAATTTTCTAACTATTTTCGGTATTTATTTTACTTAGGCTTTGATGTTTCGTGGTTTCGTGGGGAATGTTCACCGATAACAAAACCATAACATCATGCAGTTTGCTTATGAAAAGAGAGCCGATTTTTCATTCAACGAAAGAGACATTTATTGAACAAGGAACGCTCAAGTAGCTTTTTTCTTTTTTTTTTTTACTGGGACACCTGGACAAAAGGCTGCGGAAGAAACACGAAGAGGGGAAATAAATTAAAAGCAGCACAAAAAGCGAATGAAACGGAGACAGAGGGGCGGACGAAAAATCACACTCATATCGAGGATAGCAGAACGAGCCACCTGCGTCGCGGCGAGCACATACACAGAAGAAGCAATCACGGCATTTGGCTGGACGACGCACGAAGAGGGACGACAAACAAAGCACTAAGAAGGAAGGGGCATGTGGGCGCGCAAGGTCTCAGTTTAGGACAGTTCTTGTGAAGCTACAGCACTCTATACAAACTACGGGGACGTTTAACCATTGTAACCAAAGTGGCCGTAGCCTCCATGACCCCCATGGTAGATCCCGTGGCCATAGCCGTATCCTCCGTATCCGTGTCCGTAGCCATGTCCGTAGCCTCCATAAGCTCCGTAGCCACCGTAGCCTCCATAACCACCATGACCCCCGTAGCCTCCATATCCATAGGGAGCGTGGGCGTAGGAAGCTACTGGAACAGCGGAAGCAACGGCTACTTTAGCTACGGGAGCGGCGACTCCATACCCAGCGGCATGGACGGCATGGCGGGCGTTGTAGGCAGCGGCAGCGGGATGGGACGCAGCGGTTCCGGGCTCGTTGGTAGAGATGTGGGCGCGGAAGCCGTGGCCATCGGCGACGTACTTAACAACACGGACGCGACCATCGGCGTCGGTCAGACCGTAGGAGCCGACCTTGTTGCCCCAAGCGTCGCCGGCCTCCTGGCGGAAGGAGCCGCCGCTGGTGTGGCCTTCCTTGTAGCCGAAGTTGTAGTTGCCGGCAAGCTGCACAAACACAAATCGCCAGAGACTGAATGTCCACAGTAGTAACGTACATAATTTGTCGGACTAACTGGCGGCATTACGCTTGATTGTACTTTGTTCATTCGCGCTTTCCATCTGGCAAAGCGTGGGATAGGTGTTGAGAATAACGACACAAAGCTGAGGAGAAAGGCTTTATGAACTTCCGCTGCGCCCAGAACGGCATATGGTAAATCTCGCTAAGCAGTTTAGAAATGATATATCGTCAAGTACGTCTTTGTCTTGTTTGCCTGTTCTACGGAAGCCGAACTGATTTTGTTGTTCTTTTTGGTTTAAATAGTATGTGAATTCCTTAATAGGGTTGTCGAAGCGACAATTTACGACGTTCCAGAAATTCGTAACTATCCCTATCCCAGATTTTTCTGTATTTACTAACATCTTAGCTAACTTCTCAAAAAAGATTGTAGTTGAGCTCTGTAAGGCCGAGGTGTCTACTGTCCTCCATGGCTATAGAACCACTGCAGAAAAGCTGGTCACTGTCACATTAAGAAGTATAACAAAGAAGGGCCACTTTACTTACATCTTGAGACCTGTGCTGGGAAGAACTGCCAACTTCGGCAACCTTGGCGACGACAGCGTGACCGTAGCCATGGCCGTATCCATGGCCGTATCCAGCGTGGCCAACATATCCAGCGTTGGCGACCGCGAGGGCGGCGAGGAGAATGATGGCCTGCCAGCAGAGAAATCAACGTTAGCGAAATGTTTGCCTTGTTAGCCTTTGGTTGGACTGCTAATCTTATTGTGCGTGTCTCTCGTAATCACATCGTAAGGTCGGAACGTTACACACCAACAATTATCAATCTCTGTGCAAACGTCCCCACGCCATTTTGTTGGTAACCCTTCGAAAAACTGATTTTTACTTGCGCATACCTGTCATGTCCGGTCCAGATTACCGCCGTGAGACTTTAACCACTTCTTTTCAGACTGACGCATTCAACATATAAGCCACTAGTACCTCAATATATTCATTTGTATACACTGACAGACCCTTATTTTCCGCTGTCATTCGGTAACCATAGCCATTTCACTGGGATGGCTATGGGTACGCTCCCTTTTCAGTGTGATACCCAATTAATAGCCAGTTGCACTCTTGAGGAAGCTATCATTTGGGATACCATACATGCATACCTGACCCTCAAATTTCGTTTTAGAATGTGTGGTTCCGTGCGCAAGAAACGCAACAAATGAAGCATTCTAAATCTATGGTGGCGAGTGGACGGTTAGACGTGGTGATAAGACACTGCGTTGGACATTATCAATGATCTGTGTTTGCAGTTGTTCTCGTTACGTCAATATCACTGTGAAGCAGGCAACCGTATTGCTCATTTGCGTCGTTAGGAGCCACCGGATATAAAGTGGCCATGCAGGGACGGCGCCAGCATTTTTGTTTTACCGGATAGGGGGGTGGGGCAATTACGACAAGAGAGTTCTTTAAGGCGGGGGGGCATATATAGGAGAGGCATGTGAATTTTTTTTTGGGGGGGGGGGCAGCTCCATACCCCCTGCTGGCGCCACCCTTAAAGCCGTGGTTACTCAGCACGCCTTAGCTATCTTGTATCATTACCCTTATACACAGTTTCATCTTGTATTACTGCCCTTATACACAGTTTTCTTACGCGCTAAAATCAAAACTTTAGACCTCCCGTTGGTTTCTTTACTTGCTAAATTTTCAATGGCGTGTTTCCTATATATCCAAAGGAACTTTTCAAGAGGCCCTGATATAGTTGTTACTTTCTAGCTACCATGTCAAATAAGAAACAGGCTTTGCATATTTCTGAAGGACGTCTTTACCGGAGCTTGGCTCTGAGTGTGTTGGCCGGTCATTGCTAAGCAATACACATAGCACGGGAAGAAACGTATGACTCAGAACAATAACACTCTTCCTGTTCTCTTCGTTTCTGTTCTGTGTTGGTTTCTTCGTTAAATATTTCGCTTAACAATAATTATTCGGTAATTCGTTCATCTAAGCAATAGTGCATGCTATTGTGAACTTGCGAAAATGAAAAAAAAAAAAACCTTTGTGATATGGAGTATGTGCATGTCGATCCAAACAAGTGAACCATAAAAGCGTGTTCGCTGTTTGTCCCTGTTGCTCTCTGTACTGTATCCATCCATCGCCGTAACTTTCTTGCACCCTTCCTTGATCTGTTCGACGTTGTACTATACGTATTGTTGAATACGAGCCTTAGGTGTCCGCTTACCTTCATCGTGAGTCCGGTATCCGCAATGGTCTGCAGCTGTTCCCGTGATGATCGAGCAGAGCACCAATGGTGCATTTATATACACCTCGCCCTGCTTGGTGCTCCAATTGTTTTCTCCATCCAATGGGGGAGGGAACCGGGGGGGTGCGCGCAATCGTCCACGTGACTGGCGCATTATAATCGTCTCATGGGACGACGACGTATTGTTACCGCCGGCACTCGCTGATCGCAACAACCTTCTCGCGGACGTTTCAATGAGTCGTTGGTGCTCGGCGAAAATTGGCAAAGCGGTCCCTCAAGACGCGCGCCTGGAGGACAAGAAAAAACAAAACGAGGACCGACGAGCAGGAGAAAGTGGGAGAGGAGAAGATACTCCATGACAAGCCAAAGGCACAGGGAGAGAAGAGAGAAAGACAAGGGGAGGGGGGCCCAATTGAAGGGAGTTGCCCCGCATGCGACCAACGTCGACTAATTCGTATAGGGCCAGCCGATGTGTCCGAACTACGCTTAGCCAGATTCAGGAGCTTGATGGGCAGCCGAGAAAGAGGGGTTGAACGGCAGAAACAAACAGCCTGACAGGCCTTTCGGAACCGTTGTTATTTCAAAAAAAAAAAGAGAGAGAACGCCCGCTAAAAGCATGCAGGGTCATGCCGGGCCAACAGCGGCCGACGGGGTGTTGTCATGGCGAATAACAGTGCGGGTGGCACGTGTGTGTGCGTAATTTTGACACTTGTCCATCGGCAGTCGCGCAACTGCGCCTGTTTTCCTTTATAACAGTTCTGGCGGCCTGCACTGCCTCCGGCGCGGGGGTCTTAATTGGGCATGTGTCTCGCGGCGTTGATCGAATGCAGAGTGTTTGCGTTACTCTTTTCTTTTCCTTCACCTCTCAATCTTGTACTTCCCGTTCTCTTTACGCAGTTGAGGTTTTTTTGTTCCCCGCGTACAATTGGGCCCCCCCCCCCCCCCCGAAAAATCGTTGTCGTGAGCAAACGCCAGACCACTAACATCGCGATAACCTTTTCGGTGAGACGTGGTGCTGTTGGTTGCCACATTCCACATCGACACCGAAGCGCTACAGAAACAAGGGAAACAAGATTACCGCAAAAGCAACCAGTGTATCGTTTCCTTGGCCTTGCCCAGCCGAAAAAAAGGTAATGAGTGCCGGAGCGTTCATTATAACCTGCACTTTTTTTTGCCTTTCCATGTTTACTTCGCATACTATACTCCCAAGGCACTTCGAAAAGAGTGAGGAGGGTGGTCGTTGTTTCCTCCGAAATCCGCGGCAGCCGACCCTTCAAGAGAGTCCGACGTGCCGCCGTGGAATGCAGAGAGCTGGCCTTTGTTTCGCCACTCTTTCCGGTCGGAACATTCAGTCCAGCCTGTTCAACTTGGCACGTGCTGCCGACGAAGACAAAAGGTGTGGTCGATCCGCGACCACGCCTCGAGCGAATGATGAGGGTTATGAATGTCAGCCAGCGCGGCTGTCCGGTTTATGCGGAAACACTGCCACAGTACGCGGCTTCAGGCAGTCCCGATCGTTTCATCACGGGGTGCTGAGAGTATGTTGCTGCCATTTCAAGGTGGCCGCGGTAACGGGCATTCCCGGCCCGAGACGCGATCTCTGGGTCGCTCTGGGGACCGAAAGCATCTGGCCGCACCTGAATCGTGAGTGCCGTAAAACGATTCGCTGAATGTCGGGGGGGGGGGGGGGGGGCAAATGACACTCGTAGTATAGTCCTGGTCCAGTGCAACACTGTAATGAAGCCCTGGTTACCGTGTCCTTTGCACACTGCATGTTAGATCACCAGTGTCAAAATCGTATTGCTGTTCATTGCTACACTTCAAACGCCGCCTTTTTCCCGATGAGTATGAAGGAAACCACCTCACGAAAAAGGTAAATGGGGCACAGGCCACGTTGCGGTTTCACAGATGAAACACAAAATCTGTAGCACAGTAACAGTGAAATACCAATGCGCCCCAAAGAACACATTCTTGCGCTCTTATCTGCATCATTCATTTTGTCTCGCCTGCATCGCTGTATACTTGGACTACTATACTTTGAAATCACATTATGCGTCGCATTTGGTACAAGCAGTGACTCCACAACAATGTGTGCATGTGCCAGCAGTGTCCATTGTTTTTGTATGCCTTAGAAAAATCAGCATACATTGAGAATCATGTAATTACTTGCAGGGAAGACACAACATTATACTGCATCGTACTAGAGTGTATATGAGCGGTCTGGGCTCACAGGTGTGATAATCTAAGACTGAGTGAATCGTTTCAATTTTGGGGAGTTCTACGGAACAACAAACGATCTGAGGCACATTGTCTGATTTTACCAGCAATTTCAGATGAAAAGCGAAAACATTTGCTACGTGGACTATAAAAGAGAGAGAGACGTGGATTATTAATGAGATATTTTCGGCACAATAACATAAAGTGTCTTTTAGTGCCCAAGGCAACAAAGCTTCAGCCCTATACGATTGTTAATTTAGTTTTGTGCAGCGGTATATGATTGGTGAAACAGCCGCCTTTAAATGCCTACGCGGGACAACCTCAACTAAACTTAGGAATATGACTTTTGTTCATCTTGAGTTCAACACTAGCCCTGCCGCGGTGGTCCAGTGGCTAAGATACTGGGCTGCTGACTCGCAGGTCGCGGAATCAAATCCCGGCTGCGGCGGCGGCATTTCTGGTGGAGGCGGAAACGTTTTAGGCCCGTTTGCTCAGATTTGGGTGCACGTTAAAGAACCCCGGGTGGTGGAAATGTCCGGAGCCCTCCACTACGGCGTCTCTCATAATCATATGGTGGTTTTGGGACGTTAAACCCCACATATCAATCATTGAGTTTAACACTAGCGCAAAAACTTCCGACAAAATCACCCATGCCAAATTAGCGTAATCCACTTCAGCCTCAATGCCGACCTCATCAACATTTCGCAGATATTTCCACATTAAGTATAAGTTACGAGAAAAACAATAAAGATTTGTGATGAATTTCATTGAAGTTTGGATGACCTTTCAATGATGGGCTTTTCTTTTTCATGGTTCTGAAAGCGTTAAGTACAACATGACTAATTTTTAGACGTGAATGCCATACATTTTTTTTTTTGAAATAAAAAGAAATTACTTCGTGGTACTTTCGAAGACACATAAAAGAAACACTGAAGATTCGGTGTTTTTCATGCTACAAAGCTAGATATTTCGCATTATCAACAAAACATATTGTGCTCGAAGCACCTCGAGTTTCTTCCGATGCTGAAATGTGGCTGGTTGGCATACTCACCTCGGCTATTTATCTGATATGCCCCACCGCGGTGGTCTATAGTGGCTATATTTGGCTGCTGACCCGCAGGTCACGGGATCAAATCCAAGCTGCGGTACCTGCATTTCTGATGGAGGCGGAAATATTGTAGGCCCGTGTACTCAGATTTGGATGCACATTAAAGAACTCCAGGTGGTCGAAACTTCCGGAGCCCTCCCCTACGGCATCTCTCATAATCATATAGAGGTCTTGGGACGTTAAACCCGGCATATCAATATTTATCTGATACGAGACTGAAAATATTTAAAATATTTTAATGAGCATTCTGGGTATTGTCGAAGCAGAAATGATTACCAGTGACAATAGCAGGGCCGATATATATAGCGCATTTATTTGCTACACTCATAAAGCATGTAAAGTGACACAGAGATGTGTCTTCTTGAGAAGATGAGCGCTAAAATTGGCTGGAAAATGTGAAAGAAGTGCTCACAAATATATAAACGACAGTCAGAAGAGCAAGCATCCTGAACTAAACTTTGAACGTTTAGAACAGGAGAAACTATATTGCACAGGATGTGAAAAGGGACGCAAATGAAGTGGACATGGGCAGTTGGACATGACTATTGGACACAGTCGAGTCAGGTGGTAGCAACAAGAAATCAGACAAAAAATATTTATATATATCCGTAAGCGTCACACAATTCGATCATCGGCGTCGTCGCAGGTACGTCGCTCCAAGCTTGTTGGCCAGATGATCGTAGTAATCGAGAGGCTTGCCCGCGAAGTTTGTCACCACGCCCTGTCCGCCATACGTGTGCCAAGGAGCACCCGTCGTCAGCCTTGCCCCGAAGATGGCCGGAGCCGGCACCACAGCCGGAGCACCATACGACGTAGCCGCGCCTCGCAGCAGCCCGTATCCGCCTCCGTAGCCAGCTGGAATGACCTTGCGAACGATCACTTTACGAACAGGCGGCGGTGGTACCGAGCCGGCGTACGGCAGTGATGGCACGAATCCGCTCGAGTACGACACTGCCGCTGCTGTAGAGGCCACAACTGGAGCTGTTGCTACGGCACGGCGGTATCCGAACACGGGAACAGCTGGTACAGCAGGGGCGGGCTGCAATACCGGAGCGTGAGCCGGCCCTGGGAAGATCGAGGTCGGCACAAACCTTCTGATTGTCGTGACCGTCGCTGGAGCCGTTACCACGGTAGCGGGAGCGGGGGGTGCGACAATAGCTGGAGCAGGACCCGCGACCACTGCTGGAGGGGGCGCCGCGACCACTGCCGGTGCTGCCGCAGCAGTCACCACTGGAGTGGCGGGGACGATGGTCTTGACGACTGGAGCCGGTGCCGCAACCACGGTGGCTACGTTAGCTTCTGCAGCAGACACCGCTGAAGCGGCGGGGACGATGGTCTTTACGACTGGAGCCGGTGCCGCAACCACGGTGGCTACGTTAGCTTCTGCAGCAGACACCGCTGAAGCGGCGGGGACGATGGTGTTTACGACTGGAGCCGGTGCCGCAACCACGGTGGCAACGGGAGCTGCTGCAGCGGTAGCGACGGGCGCGGGGACGACGGGCTCCTGCGGTACGTTGATGGAGGCTGCGGCGGGAGTCGAGGGCGCAGTTCCCGGTTCATTCGTGTTCACAATGACGCGAAAGCCGTTAGCGTCCGCCACGTACTTGACGATCCGCACGCGACCGTCGGCGTCAGTGAGGCCGTACGAGCCGTATTTGTTGCCGTACGCGTCTCCGGTTTCTTCGCGGAAGGAACCGCCCGACGTGTGCTTCTCTTCGTAGCCAAATTGGTAGTTTCCATGAACCTGCGTAATAAACAGTGAAGCTTTTAAACTTTTTCAATTCATGTAAGCAGCTGATGAAGACAGTATACTTCATATGTCCGGGAGTATGCTTATTCGAAACTGTTCTGGATCGAAAAAAAAAAGCATAGTCAGCCGAAAAAAGTAGCCAGTACGAAATCCTTAAAATCGATGGGTGTGCCTACTATACAGACAAGAGGATCAGTAGAGCGGGAAACTTGCAAAATTTTCTTTGTCGCCCAGATGAAACGTCAAAGTTTATACACATGAAAGTGCCTTTGAATCGTGTGACAGGGTGCACTTTTTTATGTTTTGCAAGTTTTGTAGCGATACCCTTCCTTTTCAACCCATAAATAAGTCAGCGACAAGACGTTACCCAATAAGCATGTATTTGAGGAGTCAGAATGGAAGTTCACTACTCATGGCTAACCATAAAGTGCTTGACAGTTTAAAGACCACTTATTCGTATCCCAGATTTTGCACTTTCATTTCTCTGTCAACATTGAGCATCAAGGCGTGCAAACGCAACGAGACAGCGGACAACGAGTGGTCAGTTATGATTTTGAGATTTTCACAAGCAAAAAAAAAATATCGCAGCATATCCACGAAGTGAATGATGACGAATGGGCGAAGCTCCAGGAGATCATTAAACCCTTACAATGTCCCCTCATTCATGCAAAGACGTGAAAACACGTGTGTATAGTATACACAAAATTGTTTATTAATTACAATGCGCATATGGCACTATGTCCATATGCATATCCACGTGGATATGGATTTCCATATGTATGTTCATATGAATATCCATATAGGTACCCATATAAATGTGGATATCCATATGATTTCTTTATAGTTATATTACACGCGTATGGATATTCATACCATGTGAAGCCTACGGACAGGGGACATGGCTCAACTCTACGGAGCTTCGTCGCTCAAATGGAGTGCGCTTCAAACATGTCATATTTATTAAAAATGTTGTCGCAGCCTACCTCCTTTTTCTGAAGACCCATGTAGTTTGGTTTAAGAGCCCGCTAGAGAACAATCAATGGTCCAAATTTGCGGAGCCATCCTATACAGTGCAACGTTTTTAGAACAATTGTTGATACAGTGTGCTTCATAATCACTGAGTGGCCTCATCATGGCAAACCCTAGATATTATATACACCACTCTTCTTCTAAAATTTGTTTTCGTTAAGGCCTCCCACCATTTTAAAAAGGCATTCCGTTTACAAAAGCGCAGTTTCCCTCCATATTTTGGCCGCCATAAGAAAACTGCGCTAAATGTTTGATAACTCCCTCGAACCCGTGTGCACAAACTGAAGTCGGTACGTTTGTTTTCAAGAAAGCCACTATCTCATAAACTTTAAAGCGCAAAAGCCAGCCGTAAAACAGCATGACCAGAATCCTAATGCGCGTATACTGCATCTACCTATTCTTGGCTTCTTCATCTCGCAGCTGCATGATATGGCAAATAGCGCCCGCCACAATTACAGGACACTAAGTGCCCACCTCATTGTTCCAGTGCGAACCGCTATACAGCCCTGCATGAGAACTCTCCGCTCACATCTGGATTTGGGGGCTCTTGCAATGCCTCTTTGATTCAAGGACGCTTGCGAGCAAGCGGCGATGTTTTCCATAACTATTTGGGCTCCATGCAGGGCGGACAATGAGGACCGTTGTTCTCTTGAACCGTTAGATGGCAATTTAGACTTTGAGATGTTTCATTGTTCTGCTTCGCGTGCTGTACAGGGGCTTCATGTAGAGGCATGTGAGCTTGGCTCCACTGCTTGCTCCACGCCTGTAGCGAGAAATTTTCCTTTCGTTTTTATTGCATCAGTGCAAGACGAGGTGGATCCGGCAAACCGAGAACTGCAAGCGTTGTTCCGCTTGGTCGTCATTGTGTTACCTAACAGCTTGAACACCTTTGCAAATGTTATCTCTCTGACAAATGTGCAGTGACACTCGAGAGTGAGGGCCTTGACGGAGAAGTTTTTTTTTATTAAAGCGAGAGCCGCAAATTGTGAGTCGCAAAATCCTGCGTACTTGGTGTCAGCACGAATGGGGTGAATAAAGGATATATGTAATAAAGATGTGGCCCGAGTCGAAAGCGCAAAGCCAACATAATGAACAAGAACCATCCGGAGCTTTTGACGAACAGATAAAGTTAAAAATTTATTCATCTGTATACTTGTATGCGTGCAATAATGACGTTAAACTCTCGTCTCATTTCATTTAGTGAGCCAACGCAGCACGAAGGAAAAATCGAGATGACAGAAAAGGAACAAGGCCGATGTTATTTAACGGGGCTCTCCAACACATTTACAGCCAGAAAACACTGCCGATTAGCAACCTCTGTAGACCTTTGGGAAGTTCTGAAAGCCTGGCTGATCAGCTGACCGAGTTAGAGCTGAACATTAGAGCGCAGTTCACGACCTAGAATATACGAGTAATTGTCGAAGTTAGCTCCTGATCACACCCTCTTCTCTCAACAAATTATGCCATTTACCCAAATTCATGCGTGATACACCCAGATTTCATGGCCGCCAACTGATTTCAGCATCGTCAGCTGCATAGTTACCCTAGACGCCGCGGGATGTCGCTATGTCCCCACTCGCACGCTCGCGATAACACTGAAAGTAAGCCATGCGTTTGAAGTAAATTGCAATTAAAGCGCTCATGGTCGTAACGCGCGATGACGAAGGGGTCTACAAGCAGCTCTTGAACAGCGCGGATTTGTGGTACCCCACGATATGACGTGGAGTGGAGCAGCAAGTCCTGCTACGCTGCATTCCGTAAGCAAACTTTTTGTATGCTGATCCTTCTCTTTCCTACTTTTCTTCTTTTCTATATCTTTCCTTTGTATTATTTCCTCTTTCCCCCACCCCAAGTGTAGCGTAGCCAACCGAGCCAAGCTTGGTTAGCCTCCCAGCCTTTTCTCTCTATTTATCTCTCTCTCTCTCTTGATATGCTGCATCTAGTAATGCCGCGTATAAGTTCCGCTGTTGACCGCATGACTGAGTAAAAGGTTAAAGTGCATTTGCAAAAGATATCTTTCTTTTTGCAGCTTACAAATAGTGGAACAGTGAAACGTATGGTTCTTTGCGCAAAAACTGTTCACATGCCCCACCTCGGTGGTCTAGTGGCTAAGGTACTCGGCTGCTGACCCGCAGGTCGCGGGATCGAATCCCGGCTGTGGCGGCTGCATTTCCGGTGGAGACGGAAATGTTGTAGGCCCGTGTGCTCAGGTTTGGGTGCACATTAAAGAACCCCAGGTGGTCTAAATTTCCGGAGCCCTCCACTACGGCGTCTCTCATAATCGTATGCTGGTTTTGGGACGTTAAACCCTACATATCAATCAATCATCAAAAACTGTTCACTGAGGTTCGTTCTAACAACGGACCTGTTTAGGTCGGCCGTAATCCTTCCAAGGCGAAGAAGAATTCCGCGCTACTATGGCGTCTCTGCGCGTTGCCTGGCAACCTGGTGCACATCCGTCTACCGGCTTCACTAGCCTATCGTGTTCCTCTTGCTTGCCTGGTGGGCACTGCACGTGACAGCTCTGTCCGGCCAGGGCACACGTCATGGCCAAATGCGCATGCGCTCCTTTGTTTGTTACTAAGCCAGTGCGTGGCGGCGGCACGCGACGCCAGACGCAGATATTGGGACACCGAAGAAGGTTCGCACTGCGAACGAGGAAGCCGATCACCGAGAATCGTGGCGGGCTGTCAGGCGAGACTTATGGACTCGACCTATTCAAGGAAGCGCACGACGTAGTATTAACGAAATGACGGTTGGCGATTGCGCTGGACTTGACTGAACATGGCGTGGCCTTGCATAACTCGAAACACTGGGCATCACTTCATATAACGAGGCGTCACTTTATATGGGCAGAATTATCTAAGAAGTGATCAGCTCCACTTTGACATTGCACCGATAATGCTAGCACCGATAATGCCAGACATGACTGAATTTTTAAGAATATATGTCACCTTGTTCTAGGCCTCTTCTTGTTTCCCAAATTAGTGTCCACTTAAAACCCAGAAGTATTTTGACGACGGGGTCCCAACAGCGATTCAAGTGGGTGGTACGTTTCTTTTGCACTTCGAAAAATAAATAAGCTTCACTAGCTGTACCACACAGAACGTTGATTTATGATTTGATACGTTTTTTTTTAAGTGCTAAATAAAGGACCGCGGCATTTAGACTGAGCATTAGCTAACTTGTAACACTCCTTTGTGAAGACCTGTGGCTCAATAAAAAGACGCAGACATAAGAAAGACGACAGGATGACGCTTCACTATAATTTAGCGATGTCTCAATACCAACAAGAACATTCCTACATCTTTTGCAACACTTCGCTTAAACTGACATCACTCTTTGTAAAATATACTCGTTAGGTGTCACGTAAATGCGTATATCTATCTCACTTGAAACTGTTACAATGCTTGAGAGGGCTTTGTGGGCGTCCTATACATGAATTATTGGCATACTTCAAAGGAACATATGGAACATATTTTTTTTTCTTTTAGATGACAGCTCTGCAGAACTTTTCTGAGTATAGTATTCGAGAAGCTTAGGTAGCAGTCGTATTGCTTTATGAATCAACGACCATGTTTTCTTTTAATTTAGAATTTGTCAGGGGCAAGCTCAGTTTCTTAGTAACAGGGATTTGCCACCAAGTGGTCTCTTGTCGCCTTCATTTGTAAGTGGATGCCAATATAGTGAGTGGGATGCCATTTGCCTCTCATTTTTCTGGTAACCTGGTATTCCGCGAATGGTGTTGCGTATACCAAAAACCGTTTGCTGCAACGTATTTCGTCACTTTATAGACCCAAATCACGCATCAGTCTCCTGTTGCATTCACAGGTTTGCTCGCTACACCACCAACTTACATCTTGAGACCGGTACTGTGAAGACGTTCCAGTCTCTGGGACAAGGGCCGAGCTGTAAGCTGGTGCCTCAATCACTCCGCAGCTGGCTTCCCTTAGGAACAGGAAGAGGCAGAGCAGCAGCACCTGCAAAAGTTACAATCACGTGAGGATATCTTTCCTTTCTAAGCGAGTAATACTTAAACATCACGGGATGTATCAGACAGTTTAGGAAAACTTATTTTTGTGCCATCGAAGCATCGTAACGCCAAGACCGGTCAGCTGAGCACTGCATATAGCTTCCGACGCGCTGTCAAGATGGCTAGCTTAGCACAAGCAGGTGACAAAGAAATTATTGACATGAAAGAGGTGCTCTGCCTTACCCTTTGTTTTCCTTGTGCAGTATAAATTACACTTGTCTAGAGTCCCTAGTCAGTTTCTTTAGCCACTTTTTTTGTTTTTTTGTGAAAATATGCAGTTATAACGCCATAATCATACCAAACATACTACCGCATGCTAAGCTTTTGAGCTACGTGACAAACGTCGACGAACCGAATTATTAACGTCCAACCCGGTTACTGAATTATTCACTTCCTACCTCCACGTGGCCTTTCGTACACTTCTTTTAGGCATTATCTAAAGTGCATGACAGGAATCCCCTGCAGATGCAGAAGTGAAACGGTTGAGATAATGTATAGATTCGTTGAAACCATAGATTTCTTTACAGTGCACGTTTACACAGGTTACCGCAGAAGTGTATATGCTAGACAACACTAGCAGTGACCACTGGTCACGTAGTACCGAACCAGACACACACGAAGCTGATATGACGATTTCTTGTACACTTTACTTCACTGCATGGTGCGTACCATTGCAAATTATATTATCATTATCTAACAGAGCGTTGATTAGCTTCTTTCCACGATACATGGCTGAAAACTTTTCCAGAAATATTGTACAAACAGAGAACGCCACAAGGTGTCACTACCAACTTTGCCACCGTTTTCAACGTCTCTGGTAACCCGTAATGCAGAAATAGTGAGAGTTCTATGAGCAAAGTAATATTATCGAGTAAATATATTCGTACTGTTGATATGCTGACATATTCATGTCGTTTTTCATGGCTCGCTACGAGTTATCTCAAATACTTCTTACTTGCTTCTTTGAAATGAAAATCACAAAGGGTTGCAGATTGGCATCAATAGGAGCTTTTAATATACGTATAACAACATATGAAACAAACGGTCTGAAATATTTTCTCTAATATGCAATTGCGTTTATTTCAAGGTTTCTAGTTACAGCTCTAACGTTATCCTTGAACGAGTTTGTTTCTAACCTAGTCACTTCAACTCTTCGCCAAAGCCTCTCAGTACACGAAAGGAATATGATTACGTGTTGTCTTATCTCGGCGTTCTCTACAAACTAACTTTAACCAGCTGGTGCTTCCCAAGTAAGCTCGCCAAACCTTGGCGAGCTTCTAAAGGTTCTAATAACCTGGAATTCTTTCCTTTTTCAAAACTCGAACACAATGTACCCAACCGCACTCCATTTTGAAACTTGACACGCTAGGCTAGTCACGCACTCACGAAGTGGAAGTTAAAGCAACGTCGCTAATTGAAACGGATATCCCCGACAGAACAGTTGCTTCTAAAATAAGCATTGTGTGCGAGTTGTAATCATAGCAGTTGCGTTACTTTCTGTGCATTGCTGAATATTTGCTCAAATGTCAGATGAACTCCTCCACATAGTTGAAGCCCTCTTAAGGACCTGGAAATGCGGGGGATTTTTAAAATGTGCATATAGTGTTTATTGTGCTTTAGTTTTTCAGTACACAGTATCGTTTTTTATGGTAGATTTCCTGCCTGTCTAGATTTAACCACACTTCTACCACTCTCTCCCCGTTACGCACACAGAGAATTTAGCCAGCGCGTGTAAGTCTGTGAATTGCTGACAGCGACGCTCTTCTGTCGCACCACTTTCTCTGATCATGTTATTAGCGCTAAATACTAGTAGATACCACACTTACCATAAAGATTTGTTTTATTGTTGATCACAAACGTTAGTTGTCGGTATGGAGATGTGCCACCAAGCGTAAGCGTGAGTGCATTCACGTTAAACGTTGCTATAGCTGCCAAACAACAAAAGACATCATGCAAGTTCTCTATCAATCCACAGTAAACAATTTAATACTGGAAGGACAAATGCTGTGCAGTAAACATACAAATAATTTTGCAAGTGCATGTTTTACTTTTGTGTTATACCGATTAAGATGAAAGACGAGTCAACCACGTGTTTGCTCTATGAGTCAACAACATGAATTTGTGCCCTGGAAAAAATTTGAGAAGATAGGTTTATTTGTGCACAGATTCTAAAGGCTTCCTAATATATAACGTTGCCTTGTCAATTAAGGTAGTAAGCATTATCGCTTTTCTACATATTAATGGTTAAACAGGCCCTCGAAAGTTTTCTTGGGCTGCATGATTGTGGCAAGTCGCCTCTAAAGTTGATGAACAAGACAGGCCCATAGCCAGGGAAGGGGGTAGGGAAGAGCAAGGGGGGGGGGGGGGGGCAAGCATATTTTTACCCTTAAATTTTTTTTGAAGGGATACTGTACGATTAATGTTTGTCGAAATGGGAAAAGTAAGTTTCCAGTAAGTGTCCCCTAGCCCCCACCTTCCTTCTCAAAAAATTACTTGCTGTGGGCCTGGAAGAGGGCAACGTAATTTGCAAATTGCTGGCGAACAGCGCATTCCCGCAATACTTTCATACGTCAAGGTTTCTCCATAACAGCTTGCCCATATGACCAGATGCATTTGAGTACGCAGAGGTGTGGCACACAGGCACCAAGCCCCCCCCCCCCCCAAAAAAAAACAAAAAAAAAGATTTTTTGTCATGGCATACAGAGCTCAAAATGACCGTTTCAAGGAGTTAAGTGCCCCCCTCTCACCCGAAAAACATTTTTGCATATTCCCCTAGCCGTAGGTGAGATTGAGTCCCGTCTCCTGAAGGCCCTTTTCATAAATTGTATTTTGGCACATTTCTTGTGAAGAATTCGCATACGGATGAAATACTTTGTTTCATTTCTTAGAATATCCAGGTAGGCCTTTCTCTTTTATTACGCACTTATAGGGCCAGCTACTGTCTCTAGTTATTATTTGTCGTTTTAATTAACTGTGGAACACGTGTATTCTTGAGACATCCTGATGTGCTGAAATAGTGGAGTGAATACAATTTGAAGGCTTTTTTTTCCTTTGTTAGATAAGAATAATTATACCTGCTGAAAGACATGGTGGTTACCAGGTTTAGATGCCCATTCTAAGGTTGAAATGCTTAGATATACCCGATGAAGTCCACAGAAGGCTCACCATTACCGTATCTCAATTGGTAGAGCATCAAAGGGCTATTCGGTTGTTGCAGGTTTGGTCCTTGTAAACGTCAATATATAAAAATGCCCACTTCAATTTCTTCTAAATTACATCGCCATTACTTGACATTACATTCTCCACACTTTGCTTGACTTCATTTTCTGTAAGTTATATTTAATGAAATGATGATAGTAATACAATTCAGATTGAATTTTTCTACCTATTGCTAGGCTCATGCACTGATTGATGAGCACGATGGGTTGTGCCGATTTCTGAATCTTTTTATGCTTTCCATAAACAGCTTAGAACGAGAAACGAGGCACGTTTTTGACATAGAATGGCGTACGTTACGCTATCTAATCGTCTTGACATCCACAGTGATGCGAGTTTATTTTTTGTCAAAAAACCTCTGTCATATATGAAATTTGTACATAAAGTAGAATGCTACATTCATTTATATGACTCGAATCATTTGGAGAGGCTACATGAAAATCGCGTGCGACAAAGACAATGTGAAGATGGACATACGACAAGGTTTCAGTGCCATTCCTACATTATGTATCTCTGACGTCTTCCTCTGACATTTGATTTTCATGTACCCTCGTTGAGAGGCCTCTTATAGTCCTATTAAAATGACCGAAAGCTTCGTAAGTTATACTTTACTCCTTTATCATATCACAAAAGCAGCTGGGAAAAACAATAGCTTAAGGTGGTCACTGCAAAGATGGTTCAACTTTTAAATTGCGGAATATCGCACCCTCGTTCCTCGGCCCGACCGTCATATCGAAGGCTGCTTGCATTTTCAATGCACAGCAACCCATAATAACTGTCGCACAGGTCAGCGGCCAGTGCGGAAGATTAGTTGTCTCAAGCAAGCCCGACCACCCCAGCCACTGTCAGTTAAGCGTAACGTTTCCATCAGAGGGGCAACGCCCACGGAAGCGTGCGCACTGCAGCGCGCAGTCGGAAATTGGAACGCGCATACAACGATCATGTCGTCGCCATGTTTTCATTTTCCTTGTTCTTCGTACCACCGATGCACCACACACTGTCCACAACACTGCTGTTACACTGCACTCACCTTCATGATTTCCACTGCGAGTTGCTCCACGCCACCGACGGTATATCCGGATCGGGCCGTTATACTCCGAGTGGTTTGTCACCGGGTCGCTCAGACTTTAAAACCCTGTTTTCTTCGTTCCACCACTGCTGGCAACCACCTGTCCCCCCTTTTATATATATATACGGGTGGCACTCTCGGCATGGCCCCTCCCGATCTCGTTAAAATTCCGTGCAGGAACAGTCCGCCACAATGAGCGGCGTCATTCTTCTGTCCTCGACGGGGTCTTAGGCTCCTTCACTCTTTTTACTTGTTTATTGTTTTATTCCCATTGCTTCTTAAGTGTCTCAGGCTTACGGGTATGTGTATGCACAAGTCCCGCAGTGTGCGTGCGTGTGTGCGTTCGTTTGTTTTGCGCGAAAGTGCAGGACGGACGTGCCTTTTGTGAACTATGCTTCGCCCTCTCACTCTTTCATAGTCTCGCGCGAGATCTTGGACACATACCCCACTCAAACAGCGCGTACACTCACGATTTCTCGCGAGGATATAGGCGCGAACGCGGCCGCACCATCTCTCACCCGCTAGTATACAGCTTATTGAAAATCAGATGCCTCCAAGCTAACCGTCGTGTAGTGTTGGCTGTTCGTGGAAACGGTCATTGGTAAGACTCAGCTTAACTGGTTCTTCCGAACACACACACACACACACACACACACACACACACACACACACACACACACACACACACACACACACACACACACACACACACACACACACACACACACACACACACACACACACACACACACACACACACGACCTCTCACGGTCGTCTCGTTTACTGCACTCTCAGCGAGAGCCCCGTACACGAACGTACCTGACCGTCGGCACACTAGTATACGCACACACTCTTTCCAGCAATGCCCCTCGCTCGGCTGCTTTGAATGGCGCCAGTTGCCAATAAACGGAGTCGCATTATACAGAGCAGAATAGATATATGTTCGAAGCTCTCTAAACACTCTTCGCTCTATGCTTATTCACTTTCACGAACAAGATGCTTACTTCATGACGCCTCGTCTATTAAAGTGGTCACATCCTCCTCACTCTCAATGACCATGAGCACTAAGAACCATGGTCGTTCGTTTCAAAACACCCATTGCCTCTCCCCCCCCCCCTTTTTTTTCTTAACTAGAGGCAAAAGCCGTTTTCTCGATGATGTAAACGAGGATTCACAGCGGGCGTTAATGTGTCGTGGATAGTGGACAGCTTGTACCGAGAACGTATTGCACAAAGAGAGATGGCCAGAAGATATACAGACGCCAGTCGCCAGTTGGTGTTTGCGTTGAGTACAGGGCAAGGTTACAAAAACAGCCCACCATTGTTGGGGAGGGCTCTCGTTTGATGGAAACCGAGAAGTAACCATTGTCATCTCGAGCGGCTGCTACCGCGGCGCGGACTTTACCTATGTCGAGTACGTCTATTTGCATTTTATGTCGCACCGTCCAAGATAACTGCATAAAAACACCGATTCCATTTCGCCTTTTATCTGGGCGTCATCGATTCAATTCCCCTTCGCGTTCCCCGCTGCAACCGAACACGGATGCTATCGGCGACGATCTCAACGACCAGAATCGATTACAGCTCGCGCGATTGAGAGCATTCAGAGAACCTCGGTGACCGCGGCGAACGCTCTCTGGGAGAGAGACAATATGCTCGGGGAAGGCAAGAAACCTTGTAAACTGGGGACGCTTCGGCCGAGCCGTCACAGCCGTTTCGGTTGGCTTTACGGCATACGGATGCATACATAAATGTAGCAGCCGGAAAGTGGCACCCGCATTTATAAAAGCGTGGGAAAAGGAACGCTATGGGTGTGGTTCCAAGTCTTAGTTTCTGAACTTGGGCGGCGATATAATTCACGAGTGTGAGTAAAAACGTAATGACGTCCTAGCTTGCGACGATGCATGGTAACCACACCTATATTACGTAGAGACGACGGTCATTGCATGGGGATTGTTTATCATGTTAGCTTTCGAAATCTTTATGAAGTATGAGAAGAGGAGTTAGCAATGCATACTCGTCTATCACGCTTGCAATTCATCCAACCAAATGTGTAATGTCTGTCGTAAGTAATGATACCGAATTTGTTACATGAAGCTCGCGCTCGTTGGTTGCAAAAAATATATATATTTATTGGGGCTCCTTCAGATTGCTGACCCGGTTTAGGTCTCCCGCGTCGGAGCGACCAGGCCTTGCCTAATCGCTGCTCAGCGAGCTCACGTTCCTAGAGCTTTGTGGAGTGTTGTAGGTTCTATATCGCAGACCTTGCATATGTTGTCTTAGATGTCAGAGCAGAATCGCATGCTTTGAAACCATTTGTGTATTTTCGACTACAGGAAGATTTATTTTATAGCAAAGCTGTCATGATCACTGATTGTTCTAGATTGTAAATTATCGTTACCACTAACTGACACACGCTCAACTACCGCCTTATCAGTCTGAGCAGATAGTTAGCAAGGGAAGCTGCAAAGTGCCGCCTCTTATTAGTGTTTGTTACCCGTGTGTTCCCACCGTTAATACTTAGTGGGTCGGGCTCGGTGAGTATAGGGGGATTTCTACCATTTTGTGGCACATCCAAACTTGGCGTTTACCAACGGAGCTTCGATGGCCGAGGTTTGCTTGTGTCGTAGGTAGAGAGAGGTAGGAAGAGAGAGAAAGAGGAAAACAGGCAGGAAGAACGGGGAAAAAAAGAGTCAAAAAGATGAGCGAGGGAGCAACTACAGAATGAGGGAGAGAGAGAACAAGGAAGACACTTAAAGAAAGAGAGAAATGAAAAGAGAGAAAAAAAGCAAGCTAGCATTGAAAGAAAGAGAGAAATGAAAAGAGAGAAAGGAAAACAAGATATATCATAGAAATACAGAGAGAAATATGTAGAGAGAGCCTTGAAAGACAGACTTAGTGTAGGGCAGCAAACGAGATGCTTCGATTGCTGTCAACTTTCGTGCCTTTCCCTTATAATCGTACCTCTCTCTTTCATTGCGGAGCACACAAGTGTTTGTCGTTTCGCCGTTGACCATGTAAAAATGTGTCAGATTCTTATCGCATTGGAGGCGACACCTAAGGCAGCCGCGACTGGAACGCGGGCCTCCGGTGGCGCCACTCTTTTTCCGCCACGTCAAGACGCCGGTGGGAACGTAACAAGGCACGGCTTTTCTTTTGCGGTGTTTGCGCTCTTCATTTGTATGCGACAAGCAGCCTGCTGTGGTATTCAATACTATAGCTATCACGAGCGGCACGTATAGGCTCTGAGGCATTCCGTATAAAAGAGTATGGTGCATTTGCGAAACCGATGCGTGCGCATTGGTGTATGCTATCTAATATAGCTGATTCTGGTTAATTTAGAATGGAAAAGGCGTAAATTTTCAGAACAATATCCCCATTTATTGCGCACCCATAGTGAACAAAGAACGGTGAACCTGAAACCAAGTATTTATGGGACCGACACAGCGATTAACTTCGCGCATTTCTGTTCGCAGCATTGCAGTAGTTTTATACCGCGCCCTCATCAACTGGACAATATCGTAACTTTGATACCTCGCCGTAGGTTTCTCACACAGATTTGTTCACGAAAAGCATTTTCCCCTAATACCATTCAATGGTATAACGCTGATAAATGTCAATATCTACGGATTTACACACTCCATATCAAGATGACGCCCACCATAGAAAGTGTGTTGGGGAGGGGAATCCTAAACTTGCCTCCATAGTTTCGATTCCTTTGAAATGCGATCACCGCGGCCGGTATTCAACCCGCCATCTTCGGGTCGGTAGGAGAGCGCTGTAATCCCAGTATTACCGGGGCAGTTGATTCTGGCATTTTCTGCTCGTGGAAGTACTTGACTGCCCTAGATGATGTATTTCTGAATACACGTTATTTATTGTTGCGATAATATGTAAGTACTGTTGTTATTTGTTATAATGCGTTATTTTCCTGTTAAAATGTGTTATTTTCCTTCAGTTTTTTTATTGGTATGTACAAGCAAATAAATAGATAAATGTTCGAACAAGTGAACGGTGTACAATATACTCAACTTTGCTATACAGTTTATACAACCCAGTAAACGTGACATCTCCCGGGATACTGAGTACCTTAGACATTGCACTGCTGAGATCGAGACCGCTGGTTTCATTCGCTGTGCGCACAATTCAATGACAAAAAAAAAAGCATTACCGTCTCCATCTTCAAATTTCGTGCAAGCATAATGCAAGCGAAAGTTGCCTTTTGTGAAAATTCTGCGTGCCAGTTTGTGTAAAGGTTTTAGTGAACGAAGCTTCTTAACTGCACATGAAATATTGTGAATTGCTCTGTATCTAAAATGCGTCAATCTGCAGAATGTGACACCAATACGCCCACGCTCGTTTTTTCAGGTCTAATGTACATAAATTTTCGCTACTGAACAAAAGACAACCCATTTGTATGTTTTTACTTTAAATAAAAAAGTTCATTTTGAGAAAGTGTGGATTAGATTCTTTAACATATGTATGTATGTATGTATGTATGTATGTATGTATGTATGTATGTATGTATGTATGTATGTATGTATGTATGTATGTATGTATGTATGTATGTATGTATGTATGTATGTATGTATGTATGTATGTATGTATGTATGTATGTATGTATGTATGTATGTATGAAAACCTCCTGTAAGCACGCGGTAAATGACATTGGGGAAATTGTGTCCCCCTGCCTTACACCCTTCTTGATTGGTATTCTGTTGCTTTCTTTATGAAGCACTATGGTAGCAGTTGATCCCCTGTAGATTTCTTCCAGAATGTTTATATATACTTCATCTACGCCATGATTCCGCAGTGTTTGCATGACGGCTGATATTTCTACTGAATCAAACGCCTTCTCGTAATCTATGAAGGCTATGTATAGTGGTTGGTTATACTCTGAGCATTTCTCTATTATCTGATTGATAGTATGAATGTGGTCAATTGTTGAGTAGCCTGTTCGAAATCCTGCTTGTTCCTTTGGTTGATTGAATTCTAATGTTTTCTTTACTCTGTTAGCAATTACCTTTGTAAATAGCTTGTATACTACAGAGAGCAAGCTGATCGGCCTGTAATTCTTCAAGTCCTTGTCATCTCCTTTCTTATGTATTAAGATGATGTTAGCGTTCTTCCAAGACTCTGGTACTCTTCCCGTCAGGAGACACCTCGTAAACAGGGTGGCTAGTTTTCTAACACAATCTGTCCTCCATCTTTCAGCAGATCTGATGTTACCTGATGCTCACCAGCAGCTTTGCCTCTTTGCATGCTTTCCAAAGCTTTTCTGACTTCTTCTATCATTACTGGTGGGGTGTAATTTGGGTTACTGCTAGTTCTTATAGTATTAAGGTCGCGGTTGTCTCGGCTACTGTACAGATCTCTGTAAAACTCCTCCACTATTTTAACTATCCTATCCATATTGGTAGTTATTTTGCCTTCTTTGTCCCTTAGTGCATACATTCGACTTTTGCCTATCCCAAGATTCCTCTTCAATCCCTTGACACTTCCTCCGTTTTTCAGAGCGTGTTCAATTCTCTCCATGTTATACCTTCTTACATCGCATACCTTACGCCTATTAATCAACTTCGAAAGCACTGCCAGTTCTATTTTGTCTGTTGTACTTGACACTTTCATGATTTGACGCTTCTAAATTAGGTTCTTCGTTTCCTGGGAAAGCTTGCCAATGTCCTGTCTTACTACCCTGCCTCCAACTTCCACTGCACACTCCGTAATGATACTCGTCAGATTATCATTCATTGTATATACGCTAAGGTTGGTTTCCTCACTAAGAGCCGAGTACCTGTTCTGCAGCGACACTCTGAATTCATGTACTATCCCTCTCAGTGCTAAGTGATTGATTGGCTTCTTGCGTATCAGTTTCTGTCGTTCCTTCTTCAAGTCTAGGCGAATTCGAGACCGTACCATTCTATGGTCACTGCATCGTACCTTGCCAATCACTTCCACATCCTGCACGATTCCAGGGTGTGCACTCATTATAAAGTCTATTTCGTTTTTATTTTCGCCATTAGGGCTCCTCCATGTCCACTTGCGGTTTTCTCGTTTTCGGTAGAAGGTATTCAAAATCCGTAAATTATTGCGTTCTGCGAATTCTACTAGTAGCTCTCCTCTGGCGTTTCTAGTACCGATGCCATAATCTCCTACTGCCTGGTCTCCAGCCTGCTTCTTTCCTACTTTTGCATTAAAGTCGCCCATCACTATAGTATACTGTGTTTTTACCTTACTCATTGCCGATTCCACGTCTTCATAGAAGCTTTCAACTGAAGCGTCATCATGGCTGGATGTAGGCGCGTAAGCCTGTACTACCTTCATCTTGTATCTTTTATTCAGTTTAATTACGATACCTACCACCCTTTCATTAATGCTATAGTATTCCTCTATGTTGCCAGCTATGTTTCTGTGAATTAGGAACCCCACTCCCAGTTCTCTTCTGTCTGCCAAGCCCCTGTAGCAAAGGACGTGCCCATTCTGTAGCACTGTATAGGCCTCATCTGTCTTCCTAACCTCACTGAGCCCTATTATATCCCATTTAACACTCTCTAGCTCCTCGAATAGTACAGCTAGACTTCCCTTACTAGATAAGGTTCTAGCGTTAAACGTTGCCAAGTTCAGGTTCCAATGGCGGCCTGTCGCGAGCTGAGAAACCTACGCTACCAAACGGCTGGTGACCTTCCCGGCGGAGTTCGAAGCAGTGGCGCCTTCGGGACCATGTTGGCGTCGCCGTCTTTCGAAACAGTGGTTGCAGCGGTGAAATTTCGAGGTGCCCTTCGTAACGACGTCGGAGGTGCGCGATCACAACAGTGGTGCGTTGCAGATCTGACCACCGCCGTGGTCAGTTGCTTCGCAGCTGCTGGGGACTGAGGGCCGTGAGTTATTTGACGTAAGCATGTGGGAGGTAGTGGCCAGATACTGCACCAGGGTGGCCAATCCTTCTCTGGTGAGGGAGTGCGTTCTCGGCGGTGTTTGCCGGTGAGGCCGCACCCCAGGCCTCTTAATGCAGTTCCATCAACACGCGGATTTTTTTTTATCCGGTTGGAAACTGCGCGGTACCGGGATTTGAGCCACGGACCTCTTGCATGCGAGGCGGATGCTCTAACCACTACGCCATCGCCGCACCTTCGCCGCTTACAAAAGGTTTTCAGAAGCCTAGAATGGGAACAGTCAGGGATAAGAGTTAATGGAGAATACCTTAGTAACCTACGCTTCGCCGATGACATTGCACTGCTGAGCAACTCAGGGGACGAATTGCAACTCATGATTACGGAGTTAGACAAGGAGAGCAGAAAGGTGGGTCTTAAAATTAATCTGCAGAAAACAAAAGTAATGTACAACAACCTCGGAAGAGAGCAGCGCTTCGAGATAGGTAATAGTGCACTTCAAGTTGTAAAAGTCTGTGTCTACTTAGGGCAGGTTATAACCGCAGAGCTGAACCACGAGATTGAAGTAACTAAAAGAATAAGAATGGGGTGGAGCACATTCGGCAAGCACTCTCAAATTATGACAGGTAGATTGCCACTATCCCACAAGAGTAAGGTATATAACAGCTGTATCTTGCCGGTACTTAGCTACGGAGCAGAAACCTGGAGACTTACAAAGAGGGTTCAGCTTAAATTGAGGACGATGCAGCGAGCAATGGAAAGAAAAATGGTAGGTGTAACCTTAAGAGACAAGAAGAGAGCAGAATGGATTAGGGAACAAACGGGGGTTAAGGATATCATAGCTGAAATCGAGAAGAAGAAATGGACATGGGCAGGGCATGTAGCGCGTAGACAGGATAACCGCTGGTCATTAAGGGTAACTTACTGGATTCCCAGAGAAGGGAAGCGGATTAGGGGGAGACAGAAGATTAGGTGGGCAGATGAGATTAAGAAGTTTGCGGGTATAAATTGGCAGCAGCAAGCACAGGACCGGGTTAACTGGCGGAACATGGGAGAGGCCTTTGTCCTGCAGTGGACGTAGTCAGGCTGATGATGATGATGATGAAGAAGAAGTATGTATGTATGTATGTATGTATGTATGTATGTATGTATGTATGTATGTATGTATGTATGTATGTATGTATGTATGTATGTATGTATGTATGTACCGGTGGTTCCATAGATGAATGGATTCACTTCATCGAACACGGGATACATAAAAATTATGTGTTCAAAATTTTAGTTAGATAATGGCACAAGCAAAATTACTTCTTTTAAGGAGTATACTAGCGCTGAATAATGGTGCTTTTCTTTCAGCCACCAAAACAAACTAAAGCAAAAAAATGGCCCCTTATCTCCACGTTTCACTGCAAATGTCGCCGAAAGACGATAGTCTTGCGTCTGGAGAGAATGAAGAAAACGTTTATTTCATGTTCTGTTCGAGAAAATTGGTGAATTGTATTCTGGAGGCGCTGAGTTAGAGAGTATCGATCCGTGCTGCGAAGGCAAACGAGCGCATCGAGGCAGGTTAGATACAAGCGCTATCTGGCAGTTATCTTCAAAAATGAAGGAAGGCGTGCACGTTCGTCTTGAAGGTGATAACGTGTAGAACGCAAGGCGACGGGCAGGCGCCACCACCATGTCGTTTTAGCAAAGCGTTGGAAACACTTGCCTTTTTGAGCATGGCGTTGCTTTGTCAGTGCAACGTGATAAACGCTACGGTCCTTAGAATCGCTTATGTATGCCTTCTCTAGTACAAAGGCACACATACAAAATATTTACGTGTTGTTAGGGTGCCTCAGCTATGCGCAATAATTACTTTTTATTTACAATTGCACAAGTATGAATGCTGAAACTTGAGCAATATTTGTGCGCGCTACGGATGAGGTTGGCCGTTTGGGATATCGTTTGGTGCCGTTCGAAGTATCATTACTGCAGACAAACAGAAGACAAATGCACAGAAAGATAGGCAGACAGACCAAAATTTTTGTGTCTAAGTACCCAAGACAGACTATCGTGTTTAAAAGAAAGGGAATGGATTCAGAGGCTCCTTTCTTTGTTCAGCACTATCTTATGAAACCAAGATACAACTAAACAAAAATTAGCACGAAGCCAGTATTTGTGTTTGTTCACTTTAATGGAGCACCCATCGCTTAAGTGGAACTGAATCGAAGTGAACTGAAACAACGTTGCCGCTGGAGGGGACCGAATTCACAAACTTAGAATATCGCGGCCGTAAATAATGCAGTGGCATGAACGAGTCATTTGTATAGTGGAATTTATTTATTTTCCCTCTTATACTTATCATGGTCTGACTATCGCTGCTCTAACCGTATGCTAAGAAATGAAGTCGGAAACACAGCGGAAGACTAACTATATAAAGCACATACGCACACGTAACTCACTTTATTGACTCACAGAAGAAACATGTAAAAAAAAATAGATGTCCTTACAGTAATGCACGTGGTGGGCAAATTACTACAGACTTCTGTATCTAATCCTTTCCTTGTGGTAGTACAGCGCCGGCTAAGCAAGCCATTTAATTTTTTCAAGTGCAGGGGTTGGTTTTGTAATTAGCACAACGTATACGAGAATACATATAAAAGCGGCTCACAATAGTGAAAAAAGATGGACGACAACGCTACCGCGCAGAATTTTCAGGTCCAAGTAACAATAACAATAAACATGAAGTCACGTGCACGAATTGAACATTCCCAACCTCTGACCCCCCCCCCCTCCACGCGAACGCACACGCACACACACAAACACAAACACACACACTTCGCTTTTAAATGATTTATAGCGCTCTTGCGTTGGTCTTTCAGTAACGGCTTTTTTAGAGAACTATTATGACATTGCGGGGCATACAGAATGCTCTGTGGTCACGCTCGTTGACATGTACATGAAGGGTACATTCCAGCATATCTCAGAAAATTCATTAAACAAAGGCCTCCTGTGCATATGTACACAGTACACTGTTCTGCGTTTTGGAATAGCTAACTTCAACGACACACTGGTGCGTGCGTGGTACTTAGATCATGTAAGAAAATCCTCTTTGTCCGTGGTTCTCGCTCAAAGCGTGCCTCAACAATCCCCAGAACTTAACAATAGAGCAAAAGACGGTACCAAGCAACAGAAGCACATACAACGTCGTACCGGTGTTTTATCTTTCTGGTTCCATCTTTCACGCTGTCATTTAAGTTACATGCATTTGAACCCACTATCCCAGTCTGCCAGTTCAGTTTCCAATAGATTCCCGTTGCCACTGCGTATCATTGGTCACATCCAAAAACGGGCGTATAGTACCATCGTATCAGTGACCACCATGAGGTACGTCATGCCTAGAAAATGGTGCGTTTGGGACTTTGGAAGCTGGCACCGAAATCGGCACCGCACCTCTAAGAGCGCCGACAAAACCACCTGCGAGGTTCTGGGATGTGTCGATGCCGTGCTGGTTTCTCTGTACACTGGCCCGGAATTCCCCACCGTTGGCGGCGTAGTTCAAGTTGCGGACTGCCCCACCCTCGCCATTGAAGCCGTACACTCCACTGTTTGTCCCTGAAGTGTCACCCGTTTCACGATGAACGACTCCTCCAGGCCCACCGGTGTAGCCAAAGCTGTAGCCACCAACTGGCTACATGGAGAAACATGAAAGTGAAAGAGTAATTTTCTTCATCGCACAAATCATAAACCACCCTAGAAGCAAATAAAGTTGAAGATGGATTGCATTTTCTTTATTTGTATCGAAAATAGTTGTCTGCATTTATCGGTATACACATAATGTGTGGTCTTGGGGTCTCTCTTACTACTTTCCGTACCCACGCATCCACTACTTCTGCAGCAGCAGGACGCAACCATATACGCGAGAATATCAGGAGAACCTGCCCGGAGGCAAAGATTAGAAAGACGATTGAAGTCTCACAAGCACCAAAGCGCAGATGGAATATTTTTACATTCGAGTTTAAGCAAAGTATCATTCGTAAAAGAGTAAAGCAGTCTTTCTTTCACTGTCCCCTTACTCTCCTGGGAATTACAATGCTTTTAGCGTTGCCATAAGACTCTAACAGCATTTGTTCCGCTGAGCTTTTCTACCTCTATGTTTCCTGTCATGTATATCACAATCACTTACACTGAGTGCTGGCGAGGGGAGAATCACGTTGGTAGTAGACACCGGCACATTCAGACCCGGTGCCCCGGTGCCAGATGGATAACTGTGAATAAAGTTAAATCCGTAACTGCCGGGAACCACAGAGACAGCTGGCAGCCCCGGCGAGGCAGGGCCCGCTGAACCAACCGGGACGAAAGCTCGTCCCTGAACAGTGGGATAACCGGCAGACCCAGGAACCAATAACACTCTTGGTTGTCCCGTTAACGCCGGACGAGGAGGAGCAGCGGGAATAACGTGGCCATGAACTCCTTGAAATCCACCAGATCCTGGAATGGTCGATTAGATAAAACAAAATCCGAAAATAACTTCATTAGTTCCGAAGTTAAAAGACTGAAAAATTGGTGAAGTCACATGGAAGTGACTACGTCCATTAAAAAATACGAGAGCGAGATATATTCTGTGATAATTATTAAAATTCAACTGGCCTAATTGTTGTGGTTTGGGTGCACCATGTAAAAAATAGGCCTTTTTTCGACGTTTTCTTTGATAGAGAGAGAGAAAGAGATAGATAGATAGATAGATAGAGAGAGAGAGAGTGTGTGTGTGTGTGTGTGTGTGTGTGAGAGAGAGAGAGAGAGAGACATTGTCGACAGAGGTGTTTCCCTCTTCAGAGCTTGCTGTTTTATAGCTAAACTTCATTGCTCACGATATGTGTTCACAAAATGTGGGGAGGAACTCAGAGCTTGCTGTTTCATAGCTAAACTTCATTGCTCACAATATTTGTTGATAAAGTGCGGGCAGGAACTATGTGCTGTGAATGAGGTACTACGAAAATGCAATGTCGTTTGTGTGCATGGCCGAGCGACAAATGAAACGCTTGCATAACTATAAATAATGCTCAGTTTGAGACTGAAAGGTTCTTGTAATATATGCAGGCTTGTATGTGTCAATTGTCGGAGTACTTGGGAAGTGAAGCCTGTGGAGCCTGTTTAGTGCCAATAAAAGAAGTGGAACGTTTCTCATGAATTGTTTCAGGTTGAGCAAACCTTTTTAAAGTTTCACGAGGGTTCGCATCAATGCAACAGGGTAGCGGGCAACAACATAGCACTGCACAACGTTGGCTTACTTGAGCTGCGATAGTTGTTTATACAAAAAGTTCGGGCAAATTGCCGATGCTCGTTGTACCTGTAGGTAGGCCAGAGCCATCGGGGCCCGATGATTCGCCCATTGGTGCTGTCCCCGCTGATTCCGAACTCTTGGTGATGTCAACATCGGCGGGACGTTGGGCACCGTCGCCCGCAGGTTCGTTCGTTTCACCGCTGGCACTGAATCCATTTGTCCCAGTGACGTAGTCGACATTGTGGAATCTGTCGTCATCGACTGTGACGCCGTACGATCCCTCTTTATTTGCCGCAGCATCTCCATACTTCTGCTGCCGTGGTCCAACGACTTGGCCGTTTGCGTAGGCAAAGTTGTACAAGGTGGAGCCCTGAGGAGATATAGTATCCACAATTAGAAAGAAATATGGCTTAATTTGGAGGCGCTTTGAAAGTTTGCTAGCTCTTGTCATAGAAGTTCTTGCACATAAGGCAGAAAAGCTCAGCGTCACGTTTGCCGTTACGCTAACGAAATATAGAAGCCATCATGAAAAAAAATACGTAGCTGGTATGAGTTTCTCTCTCTCTTTTTTGTTCTCGCTCTCGTAGAATTTTCCAGATAGTCCGACCACATTAACTTCCCTATTACGGAGTTGAGTGCTGACAAACGAAAGAAACGGGGAGAAAAAGATCGAGGCGAAACACGGGCTTGTGCCGGAGGTCCGTCAAGGTCTTAAATTCTTTACGCAGCTGTGGCTGTTCGAAAAACTCAGGAATGCTGCTCTCTGTTCGCTATCTTCGCGGTGCCACGGTAAAGTGTTTACGATGCTCCAGGGGTATCCAGCATTTTTTTGTATTGGTGGGGAAGGTAGAGGGAGTTTTTTGCACTTTATGTATTTGCTTGCGTGCGTATGTATATGTGCGTGTTTATATGCGCAAGCAACACTGAAAAAAATTTGGAAGGGGAAGGGGCTCGAGCTTTCTTGGCTCTTCTAGCATGCTCGGTGCTCGGCTCTTCACCTGAAAGTTGCCGCATTCAATCCCAGTCACGGCGGCCGCATTTCGACGTAGGCAAACTGCTAGGGGTACATGTGGTTTGATTTAGGCGCACTTTAAATCACTTCCATTGATCTAAGTTCAGGACGCCATCCAGTACAGCATCTTATATTCATATCCTGATTTACGGGCATAAAACCCCAACCATTGTTATGATTTTTCTATTGGACACTGAGACCACTGAGTTGCCCCGCCGCGGTGGTCTAGTGGCTAAGGTACTCGGCTGCTGACCCGCAGGTCACGGGATCGAATCCCGGCTGCGGCAGCTGCATTTCCAATGAAGGCGGAAATATTGTAGGCCCGTGTGCTCAGGTTTGGGTGCACGTCAAAGAACCTCATGTGGTATAAATTTCCGGAGCCCTCCACTACGGCGTTTCTCATACCCGTATGGTGGGTTTGGGACGTTAAGCCTCACATATCAATCAAGATCACTGAGTTGCGCGCATCAGTTACGATAACAGTGGAGTTGTTTTAAATAATTTAAACGCGTATCACTTTCCACGCAAAAGTTTTATGACGTATAAAAAAAAAGAGAACTCACTATGACTGACCAGTTTCCGAAAGTTGGAAGTCATTTACGTTATCAGTAGGATACGGTGCGAGAGTGGTGCTATCCGGCCCTAGCTTTTTTTTTTGTTAAGGGGAGCTGCTTCAAGTTTGTTGAAAGAATCGCAAAACACAATGCTTAAAATATCACTGGAGACTTGAATCTGGCCTTTCGGTGACTTCTCATAACATTCAGAAAAAAATGGGAGAGTTGGCAGTTTTTTTATAAACATACCCTGAAGAACAAGGTCACCTGTTCTGTTGAATGAAGATATTACCACGACTCTCTTCTTGAGCAGTGGTACATACATGTTTATTACAAATCACTTGAATAGAGTAAACTGTCCCACATTCAGCAGTTTTATTCTAAACAAAAGTGAGAGAAAGCTACGACTTTCTAATAACGAAGGCCGCAAAAACTTCGTGATAACTTTACGCATTTAATACTAGTATCACCAAAATATTTGACGTTTAGCGTACGTGGGGCAAATTTGTAAGGGAGAACATTCCCAACGAAAACAACTGGGCAATGCTTATTAACACTTCTACATATTAGTAGTGAATAACGCTTACACCTTGCTGCCCGTAATTAGTGTAAACAGGTCCAGCTATTCTGGGTGGCGCCAGAAATCCTACCCCAGTAGGACCAACTGGAAGGCTGCGCCCTTCTATACCGAGACCAGATGGTGGGATGAGTGCTGCTCCAGCGGGAGCCGATCCGTGAGGACCAGAGAACACTAAAGCTGCGGAGAAATCAAAAGGCTTATGGCACAACAGGACACCCTCATTTAAAGTTACACGAAATACTGCACTTGTATCACAGGACACCAACCAGAGAACACGACAATAAACGTAGAAGTTGCTAGTGCCGTACGAAAAGCCACTAGTCATAGGTTACCTTTAATGCCTTCGCTGACCCTGAAGCCGGAAGTGCATTATTCTAGGCGAATCACCTACTCGCACGAGGACTTGTTTGTTATTGATACGAAACCATTTTGATCGCTAATGGGTACCTCCTGAATGATGTAACTCGTAGATATGAAGACTGGTGGTATATAAAAGAGACGTATTGAAGATGTCATGACAGGCATCATATAGGACCAGTTTTTTTTTCGTAACTGTCACCCCAAATTTAGTAATGCGCAAATATATTTCGCATTACGGCATGTACTATCAGCGTCAAATGAAACCCGAACAGCGGAGCGCGTGTTTGAAGCATTTGAAACAGTATAGTGTTGGCCGTCCAGTTATCACTATTGACAGGCGTGCACATCCTGTTTGGCAGCACTGCGCCATCCACCTTGAGTGTGTTATCTTTGTTTCTGCTGTAGTTTTCGCTTGGCGATAATGGTGGCCATCGTGGGCGCACCTAGAGCTTTTCATCGTATCACTCGCCATTCCTTGCTTTCACTTCTGCGCCGCAGTGCAATTGGTGTCTTGGTGCGATAAAAAAAAGAGAAATATAATCTGTTTGCGGTTAATTTGCAAATGGTCATCGTATCTCGATCGCCAGCGGTGCTTCACCTTCTTTCAGAGACCGACACAAAAAGGCTTCACTTTAACTGAAAATGACGAACGTTTCTTCGGAAGAGAGAGCGCACATCGTTTCGCTTTACCGGCATGAAGTGAAACAGTGTGAAATTACCAGCATCATGAACCGACCTTTGTCCGCTATAAATAAAATTTACCAGGCATACCGTGATGATGGACTCCGTGATTACCAACCGTGCTACTATACTTGCCATAGGCCGCAGCAGTTAAACCTCTGTATTTTTTTCATTTTGTTCATTTCAAATACCATAAGTGAACACAAGCAGAAATATTGCACTATAGGGGGATCGCGCAGTGCTGACACACCGGATGTGCGGGCCTGTCTGTGTCAATGACTGTATAGATGGCGCGCACTATGCCATTGATAAGGCTTGTGCCACCGCTCCACTGTTCGCGTTTCATTTGATGCCGATAGTACATAGAGATGAGTTGAAATAGGCTTCTTAAATCATGAAGATCATGCTAATGACCACTAAGGACCTAAGCGGCTTGGCATTATCATTGATTATTATTGATGTTCTTGCCAACATGGCATTACCAAAAGTCGTCAGTCACAACATGGCATCGAGTTACAAGAAAAACGATGAAGCACCGCGACATACATGAACGAAATAGACTCAGAAAAATAAAATGGGCGCCAATGAAAATGCGTTTCTTTGAAGGTAGTCGAAATTCACACCTGCCACGGACGGCATTACTGCACAAGAAGCCTTTACGGATATCCAGTAACAATTGTTTGCCTCTTTACCTATTCCCACTAGCCCTGGCATCTTGTAAACGTCCACATCTGCGGGATTTTGGGCACCGTTGAATCCTGGCTCGTTGGACTCGACAGTCGTTCGGACGCCATCGTCGTCAGCCGTTCCCGATCCCTGGGGAGTAACAAAGACGACTGTCGATCAGATTCTGAACGCAACCGAAAGTTTTTTATGAAGGCTAACACTAAAAGAGAAAGAGGCAAAGGCTAAGTGAATGAGCGGGAGGTTCAATCACTGAGCCACGCCAGGTCTCGAAACTGCTTTTCAAGCAGACTTTAATGTTCGTGAAACGTCAATTGTGGTTGCAGCCCAATCTTATAAACTTTACTACATAGGTACTCCTATAATACAGCCGTCCCATTGGCTTGACGACTATTGTGGCGAAGCGGGATCCCACAGAGGCTCATTTTTCTAGCAATGTCCAGGGCCACCATCATTGCTGGCTCAAGCGCTACGTATCAGCTTACCACTTCTGTTGTTGCAAATACTCGTGTTGCTGTCGGCACCATTACGCGACCGTTAACATGCGACTGTTTAACATGCGTTTGTGCATACAACACTTGTACGTATCTTCCGCGTCATTTTGTAACGTTTCCCTTAATAATATATCAGAGCACAGTCACCTTTCCTAAGGATACTTCGCATAACTTTGATTCCCAATTTACATGGGATGTGTCCAATTCTCGCGTATGCTCTATATTGATTCTTCAGCAAATATTTTCCTTTAATCCGAGCTAAAGTCTTTCGTTTCCGCTAACAATGCACCAGCAAAGGTCAAACATTGCTATGCTGTGCGAACACAATATACAAACATTTAAGTAGCAGGAATGCCAGGGCAGTACACTTCCGAACGTCTCGTAGAATCACAGTTGGAGCACCAACAGTGACTCGCGCATTGTGTGACACGTTGTCTTTTATGCAGGCGCGCATGACAAACCCAACTGTTTGTTCCTGTGCAATGTCCTGCCCCGTGTCTTGATCACCGGTGCATGAGAGAAATACTTTCAATGCAAAACACTAGTTTGTTGGAAAGATTGAATCGATACAGTGATGTATTTTAGTGCAGTAGGGTTTAATCTTCACTTCCTTCGTACAAGGTATTCCATGATAAACCAATTTATGTATACTGTAACTCGTAGCAGTGTGCTACGAAAGTAATTTTACCAGCTACATTCACAGCACCTTCGCGTCTGGAAAGCTCCCTCTGTCGAGCTGATCCACTCCTACAATCGTCCTCCAATGCAAGTTGAGTACTACGTCATAAAAGGAGCACACCGTGATTCTGAAGTCTGTGGAAGTACCATACCGTGCCTTCTTGAAAAACTTTTTTGCGTGCGTGCCTGCGTGCGTGCGTGCGTGCGTGCGTGTGTGTGTGTGTGTGTGTGTGTGGGTGTGTATGTGTGTGCGTGCGTGCGTGCGTGTGCGTGTGTGTGTGTGTGTGTGTGTGTGTGTGTGTGTGTGTGTGTGTGTGTGTGTGTGTGTGTGTGTGTGTGTGTGTGTGTGTGTGTGTGTGTGTGTGTGTGTGTGTGTGTGTGTGTGTGTGTGTGTGTGTGTGTGTGTGAATTCCCGAGAAGCAACGAAAATACATTGCACAAGCTCACGTCTTCGGTGCCATGGCCGGGGGCCCCCGAACCAGATGCTCCAGGACCACCTGGGTACGGAGGTGGAAATATGAGCCCATTATCTCCATCCTCCTGCCTTCCGGAAGATGCAGATGAAGGTGACCCGAGGCTAAAAGCACTCTTGGTATTGCCAACGCCCGGCTCGTTCGACTGGACGCTGGCACGGAATCCGCCCGCATCGGCGACGTTATTCACTCTTTGACCGGACAGCCCATAAATGTCTCTGTTGATACCCAGGGCATCTCCCACATCGTGCTGAAAGGGGCCTCCAGTTGCACTCGAGTCGTACGAAAATCTGTACGGGGCACCCACAGAATCCTGTGAGTAAAAGCAAGTTGACTAAGTTGCTATAATTCGATCTTACTGACAATATCTTATTGCTCTCGTGCTTCATAAACGAAAATGATATGTGTTAGTAATAACAGATTGTTAGTGTTGTCTGAGTTATGCAATCATTTTCATTCACAACGTTATTTGCATTATTTATTTTTGTTGCGCATGCTCTCGCTTATCTAATAAATAAATAGAAACAACTAAAGCACTGCGTGTTACACAAGCTTTTCCATTCGTGATTTTCATTCGACGTTCTTATTATATTAGGGATGAATGGAATTTTTCCGTACACTCTTCTTCATAAAAAGTAGGCTGAGCAGAGGTCGCGTATTGACTGCTTATTTATTATCAGTTCAAACTGATTCAATGCAGAAATGAATCGGAATAACTGTAACTCGAAATATTTTAAACTAGCAACTTAGCATGTGCAGTGAAATTAACTAAGACGAGGAATAGCTGGCTATTGTACGGCGCCAATGCAATTTTTTATTATTCTGTTGAAACTGCTTCTTCGATGATGGTATTGTAGCGCACAATAAGGAAGGCTCCCTCCTGTTTCTATGTAAAAGTGGTTTACACCCCCAGAGCCGTGCACAAAGAGTTTTGGATTTCAGAAACGTGCGCACCCTTGTAATGCACGGAGTTGATGCCATCCAATCCACGGGGTTTTCATCACCTGACCACAACGACATGCAGTGCTAATCGAGAGTAAAGACCCAGCTTTTGATTCAAGTGTCATAACGCAAGGTATTAGTTCCCTTAATCCTGCCGGAGCCATTATTCTGCTCATAGCAATAAACGGTGACGACGGCAGCGACTCTTACATCAGCATGCCCCAAAGCGACTGGAGGACGGGCGCCGGTGGACCGAGACCCATGGTGGGGACCTGTTCCCTCTGTTTTTGAATGTGCCCCGGCATGGTGTGCGTGGGCAGGAACTTGAGGAATGGGCCACTGGGTGATTCCCGCCCCAAGCCCGAGATTGCGCTGTGGTAAACCAGGCTCGTTCGACTGGACGTTCGCTTGGAAGCCGTCTTGGTTGGCCACGTACGTGACTAACCTGACCCGTGCGTCGGGGTCCTTGAAGCCGTACGATCCGATCACGTTACCCGCGGCGTCTGCAGACTCCTTACGCCACGATGCGCCACCGCCTTCGCCGTGGGCAGGGCTGTACCCATACGAGTAGCCTCCAGGCTTCGTGGCCGAAAGACAGAAAAGGAATAAAAAAAAACGACTGATAAATTCACGTGATAAATTCAATTGCCCTATAGTCAATGAGGACATACCCAATATTCAAGAAAAACTATAGCTTTCTAATTTAATTAGGCGAGTAGTGATTGATATAACACCCACTTGTACTGAATGTATTACCATATGAATAATTATGTTTTCCCTCTTCTACAATACCTTTCGTGGACACGGACCAACGCGTCTATGAGAATCAATGTAGTTTGTTCGAATCGAAAAGCTGGTGCTTTAACGCCACTCAGGTGCATCCTATGGTGGTCCTGCAACACAGCTGAAAGATAGATAGTGACTTAATGAGCTAATTTGAAGAGAATGGTTCTGCCCCTTGCTTGGCATAAGGAACCTTGCCCAACGATTGCCAGCTATACGCTGACAAAAACAAATGCCGGGACTACAGAAAAATTCATCAGCGCCCATCCTGCGAACATAAATCGGTGGTGGGACGGCGTGGGTTATGCTGGAAGATATATTGCAGTGTAATGAATTCAGGCAAAGAGCATATAATGCCGTTACCTCAGTAGTTCGTGACACGCATGTTTCAGTTACAAGGGGATGGCCTCGTTCGGTAAGCATCTGTTTGGCCAGAATATTTGTTTCGCAAAAAACAGCCATGCCGCGGCCATTTGAAATTCGAAGAGCAATGACTAAAAAGCACCATCTGGCCTTGCAAAAATAAGTCTCAGCTGAATTAAACTACCGTCAAAGGTCTGCATACCACTGGCCTCGTGAAATGACAATGCATGTACTGTCGAAGGCCAAGCGCCACACCCACGCATGTAGCAGCAACTTTGCTTCAAAACGTTTTTGGTGACCTATGTTTCGCTGTTACGAAAGCGAGCTATTTGTTAAAGCAACGCGAGACAAAGCATACTTTTAAAAGTAGGCTACGTATGTACTTTGCGCATTTTTTTTCAGCAGTATACTGATGTACTCACGTTTTCTGAAACGAGTGGCGGCATTAAACTGTTCACCGACACGTCTGGTTTTTAAAAAATGGTATATGGAGGGACGACATGCGTGCATTACTGCTGTTGTACCATTTCCTGCAACATTTCATACCAGGGTGCTATCTGAGAATATATCAGTTACTTCAAGACCCACCCTTCTGCGAGATACCCTTGTCTAAGCAGAATTTTGTCCTATATAACATGCCGTGTTTGTTGCACTTGATATTCTTGTCACGTGCGTTGTTTCATGCTACTGATGCTAAGGCTGCTGCATCATTTACCGGAGTGAGTCAGCATCACCGTCGGTCGCAATAGCACGCCAGACGTTACCCGCAGGGTGTGTCCGCTAGATTTTTTGGCCATACTCCAGGGACGTTTCACGCGCAGACCACTTCTGTAGTAGGGAAGGCAGATGTCGAGAATCATTTCGCTTGGCAGCAGCTATTCTTTTTTTCACGAGGTGCAAAGAAAAGAAAAGTAAATAGAGTGAACTACATGAGCTTAAGCTTCACAAAAAAAAAAAACAATCCATGAAAGTGTGCTGGCTGATGTCTGCAGCAGAACAAAGAAGACGCACCCTTACTAACCTATTATAAAACATGGCCAATTTTTTGCCATTAGACAACCGTGAAGAGTCTCTCGCGAAATATAGAGAAGACATCATCAAATGGTATTCACTGCGTGCCAGGTGGTAGTGATGAATCTGTATAAATGTAGGTGCACCCTCGCTGTAATAAATAATCTTTCTTTTTCCTTAAATGAAGGGCAACATTGAGCACATGGTAAGTTAACTTAGACTGGAATGGCCGCATCTATATAACTGTGTAGGTGAAGGGTGTGAAAGGAGAAAAATAGGAATGCCTAGTCGTTTATGAGATCTTTTAGGATGTATGATTGTATTACAGGTATGTGAACTTTATTAACACTCCACTTCGTAATCAAGAAATTTGTAGTTACAGTTGCTGCGAACCACAAACGAATGAATGAATGAATGAATGAATGAATGTGAAACACCGCGTTTGTAATGTATTTAACCAGCCCTATCGATGAATCTGTTTCCGTACTTGAAACCAGGTGACGGTACCATGCTTTCCGTCTTTCGCCTTCCATTCATTCACCAATCTATTGCAGAAACGTGATATATCGCTCTCTTCTGACCTCAATTTGCTTTCTTTACATCTGAAGGAAGATAGATATCTGGAACACGTAACATAGAAGCAGGTGTGATACAGGTGCCATATATTTCCTTACATGGGTTGGAGTAACTCTGTTTGTACATATACGCAAAGCTACCTCCGATATTGGCATGCAAACAAACAAGACTTTATGACAAGAAAAGTGGCACAATCACTGCCGTTGCATCGGAAAGGACACTGACGCTTTCTTCTCTGGAACACAATTTGCCAGAATTTTCTGAAAGAAGAATATCCAGGCAAGGTACGGCAATGACCAGTCGTGCCGTATAGGACCAATCATAGAGGGAAATGTTTTTAGCGGGGTAAAAACTCTTGTCGCTCCACATAGAGGAAAACATTTTTTCTATATTCTTAGTTGTGGCTACTAAGTTTGTGACTGCCCTTTCCTTCGAACGGCACCGACCTATTCGTTAGTACTGCCATTTTCTCCAGGCTGCGGCATGAAAGAACA